TATTTTTAATTAGGACGTAAAAAATAAAAAAAAAAAATATATAGAAAACTAAAAATAATTTTAAATAGGTATAGCTTAGGCTAGGCTTAGTACTACCCCTCTTTACCTCCTCCTCCTCCTACTTCTCCTTTTTCTTTTTACCCTCTTTCCCTTTAGTTAAAGTAGTTAAGTCTAGGCCTTTATCTAGCCTAGGCTTAGATATAGTTACCCCCTAAGCCTTTAAGGTAGTTATAATAACTTAAAGTAAGCTAGCTAAGGTATATTACTATTAAGCTAGCTAATAAACTACCTTAGCCTTAGCCTAATCTAAATATACTAATATCTTAATATTAATATAAATAGCTATAGTTAAGGCTAGGTTATAACTAATAAAGGCTAGTATAATTATAATCTAGACTAGATTAGTTATATTTTAAATATAATAGGTATTACCTTTAGTATTTATATTATTAACTTAGTTATAAATATAGTAAATAGTTATTATTAAATAACTAAACTTAATATTATTTAGACTTAAAGCTAAGCTATTTTTAATATAAGCTAAAAGTTAATTTTAAATAATAATAACTATAGGCTTAATACTATTAATAAGCTATTAATAAGTTAATTAAAATTAAACCTAATTAGGCTTTAAATTAAAATTAAAAAGACTTATTAGTATATAAACTTTATTATTTTTTATATATTTAGTATATATAAATATATTAAGATCTAGAACTAGATTAGGATAAAGACTACCTTAATATAGTATTAGAATATTTATTAGTTTATTTAAAGTAAATAATAATACTAGTATTATTTATATACTTAAGGTACTAGCTATAAGGGACTAATACTAGCTTACTTATAATAATAACTTAGTATAAATACTTAATAAAGTAATAAAGAAGTAAGAAGGGTAATTAGCTAGATTAGTATTAAAATAAGGGTAAATAATAAATAAGTAAAGGTTACTTATATTATTAATAATAATAATAATAATATTAAACTAATAAGGTTAAAAATAAGATAAGGCTAGGTATATATTAAGAATAAAGTAATTTACTATAGTAGTAATAGTAGTAATAGTTAAAAATTTTATTTTTCTAGAAAGTATTAATAATATTAGGATAGGGCTAGGGGTAGCCTAGATATAGCCTAGGAAGGTATATAAGGATAAGAAGGAGGGAAGTATATAAGTATAGTAATAATAATAGTAAGAAGCTAGTAAAGAAAAAAGTTAATATAGTTTAGTAGTTAAAGTAAGAATAGCTTAGTTTAGGTAAAGGTAAGGGTAATAATAAGATATAGTATATATATTAAAGGTAAAGAAGATATATAATTATATATTATTAAAAAAAGAAAAAAAAAGTAAAAATTAAAAAATTTAAGGCTTTTTAAATATTATAATAAATAGGCTAACTAATTAAATAATAAGCTAAAATAATAATAATTAAATATATATAGCTATAGCTTTTTTCTTATTTAATATAGTAAATATAATAAACTATATAAAGGCTAATATTAATCTAAGGGTTTTAAAAAGGTATAGAGATATAAATAGAGTAATTATAAAGTAAGAAGTAAAGATAAGTATAAAAGTATATAAAAGTAAAAAAGTAGTAAGACTATCTTAACTAGTCTTAGTATAGGTAAGGCCTTATAAAGGGTAAGATTTTTACTTATTTAGTATAAATAATATAGAAAATAAACTATAAAAGTTAAAAAGAAGAATAATAAGGGTAGGTATTATAGCCTTTATAGCTATTACTATACCTACTTATACTTTAAAGTATCTAGGGATTAGGATTTAGAAAGGACCTTAATTATATATAGTACTTAGCCTAGGCTAAAATAAGGCTATAGGGGGAGGAGGTTAAGGGGGTTAAGTAGGGAATAAGTAAGTCTATTAGCCTATTAAGTTTTATATATTTATACTTATTATTATTATCTTTTATTAAGATAAGGAGTATACTACTCTTTACTAGGAATTACTTTAGGATTATATTAAACCTATACTAAAGCTAGGGTTTTTCCTTTAGGTACTCTAGTTTTTTCCTTATCTTATAAGCTATAGAGGTACTAGATAGACTAGCTAGTCTAATTAGTATAATATAATAATAATAATAATAATAATACTAATAATATAGAAAATAATTCTATAGATAACTCTTTAATAAAGAATAATAACTCTATTAAGAAGGATATTAAAGATATACCTAAAACCAATATATCTATTAATATACCTAGAAAAATAGATAAAGAAGAAGAATATAAAGAAGTCCCTAATATAATAATAATAAATAATTATAATAATTATATTCTTAATACTATAACTAAGCCTTTAGAGCCTTCTAGTTATAATAAAGCTATAAATTCTAAGAAAAATTTAGAATAGCTAGAGTCTATAAAACTAGAAGTAGATAAATTATATTTTTATAATACTTAGACTATATCTTATAAACCTAAGGAAAATCAAGAAATTCTAAAAGGTCGCTAGGTATATAAAATAAAAAAAAATAATTTAAATTATAAATATAAGTATAAATCTAGATAGGTTATATAAGGTTTTAAATAAGTTAAAAGACTTAATTATAAAGATACCTTTATAACTACTACTAGAATAGAATCTATAAGAATTCTATTAATTTTAGCTATATATAATAACTATTATATCTAACAATATAATATAAAGAATGCTTTTATATATACTAATATAGATTGTGAAATCTATACTATTTTACCTAAGGGTTATAAAGATTATTTATTAGAAAAATTATTTTCTAAATTAAATATAAGTAAAAGTTAAACTAAAGAATTATATAAAACTAGTAGAATTATTACTAAATTAAATAAAGCGTTATATAGTCTAAAATAAAGCCCTAAACTATAGTATAATTTTCTATTAAATAATTTAAATAAACTAGGATTTTATACTAGTCCTTATAATTAGGGAGTATTTATAAATAATATATATAATATAGCCTTAATTTTACACGTTAATAATATCCTATTTATAGGGGCTAATATAAATATAATAAAAACTACTATTTCTAACCTAAATAAATATATAAAAGTCTAAGATTTAGGTAAAATAAGAGATTTTCTAGGAGTTAATATAACTATTAATAGAAAAAATAAGCATATATATCTTTCCTAGTATAAATATCTTATTAATAAAATAAAAGAATATAATAAAGAAAATATAGAAACTTCTAATACCCCTATATTAGAAGGTTTAAAGCTAGTTAAATCTACTATAGAAGCTAGCTTAATAGATATATTATAATTTTAAAAAGAAATAGGCTCTTTATTATACCTAGCCTTAAAAACTAAGCCTAATATAGCCTTTATAGTTATAACTTATTCTAGGTTTACTTCTAAACTAGACTATACTTACTTTTCTACTTTAAATACTATATAGAAATATTTAAATAAATTTCCTAATAGAGTTTTATTTTATAATTATAATTTTCCTATTAATTATAATTTTATAAAAGGTTTTTCTAATACTTCTTAGGCTAGTAACTTAGAAGAAAGAAAATCTATAACTAGTTATAGCTTTTATATATATAATAACCTTATAAGCTAGTTTTATACTAAGTAAAAATGTATAGCTTTAAGTACCTATGAAGCTAAATATATAGCTTTAAGAGACTATACTAAAGAAGCTATATTTTTAAATAATTTATTTAAATTTTTAACTAATAGTTTAACTTTAAATAGAAAAAGCTCTATACCTCCTATTTTAATAAATAGCTAGGCTACTATTAAATTAGTAAGAAATCCTAAA